GCACCCTTCCACACGGCTGGTCCATACAAGAAAGCAAGACCATTCAGCCCACGGCTCAAAACATGCTGATCCTCCGCACCAGGTGCTCTGGTGCAGACTCGCAGGGCGGCCTCAATGGGCGCTGACTTGTGCTCCTGACAGCAGTTGGGCAGCTCCCCGGGTGCTCAGGGCCAAATCTGGGGTCTCTGCCCTGCTGGCTGCACCTCTGCTGTCTGGCACTCACTTGCAAAGTGTGACCTCATTGTCTTTTATTTCAGTGTCCCTGTTGTCATCAGGCTGTGGGACCTGCTAGGGACTCCTGGCCCCGAGGCTGACCACGGGCTCCCAGGGCATGTCTCCTTGTGCACTCAGACTGACGGACATGCTGTCTGTCTTCTGTAGACGTAGAGTCACCTCAGATCAATCAACCACAGCAGCAGTTGTAACCCCTCCACAGCTTCCAGAGAACATACTTTCTTTGCAAAATGGCCTGAAGTAGAGCAAATGGTTTAGTTTGAAGGCTTCGTTGCAGAAACATCTTTGCCTCCTAAATTGTTTACCCATCAAGTTTCTTAAATGCTCCGCAGCTTTAGTCACCCTCAGAGGTAAAGGAATGTTAATAAAAGTGAGCGTCTATAGATGCTCCTCCTGCACCGGGTTCTGTGCTGAGCACTTCCCAGGGATCCTGTACTGACTTCTCTGGAAAAGCCTTGAGGCAGGTGTCCAGTCACTCGGCTGATTGAGTCTCAGAGCTGGACTCACTCAGCCTGGGCAGTCGCTCTGACCTCCGGGCCTGCTGCCCAGCATGCCCACCTCAGAGGATTTGCTGTGGGGATTGACTGAGGGGGTCTAGACAGTGCTCAGCAGGCCCGGCCAGAATCATGCAAACTTGAGAGCTGCTGCCCTTTATCAGGAGCCGGCAATCAACGGGGCCGGGGGACGAAGGGGCGGGGCTCTTGGGGACGCAGGGGCGGGGATCTTGGACACGAGGGGCGGGGCTCTGGGTGGTTGGCAGCATTGGCCGGGGGTGCCCCCGTGAGAGGTGGAGGGGTGTGTCGGGGTGCCAGGAGCGGTCCCCGCACACCCCTGCACTATGTGCAGGTGACCCATCCTAAGCTGTCCTCAGCCTTCTGAGCATCAGAATTGCCTTTTTTCGAAAACGTCATTAGAGGTCCCCACCCCTACCCCATGGGCTAACCAACACTTAGTTTGCACTTTCTTTTACTCTTGGTTTAAAACTTTCGTTTGTGGGGTTCTTGTCTGTTGCACCTAGCCCAGTCTTTCCTTTTGAAAATGGACAGACGATAGCCGTGTTGTCTCCTGGGCGGGGCGGGGTGGAGGCAGGGCTGCAGGAGCCATGGACCCGTTTCAGCGGAGGCACAGGCCGCGGGCTCCTTGCCACACCACCCAACAGCGCTTGGGATGCCGTGGCTGTCACAGCTCTCTTTTCTCTGGCCATGGTTTCTTGTTCAGCTGTAACCTCAAATAGACTTCGCACCCCCCACCCCCCGCCCCAGAGGCCACTCTGATATTTCCAGCATTAAAAGTGGGCACTTGATGAACATTACGCCAGAATGAAGTGCGTGAAGGGAACAAGCACTGTGCCCTGGAAGTTGAGTCACAGGGCTCTGCTGTGACCCTCAGAGCCAAGCAGAAGGCTGGTCAGGCTCTAGGATGGGCTGAGTCCCAGCGGCCTCTGGTGTGTCTGCTGGGGATCAGGCTCCAGGTGGCAGGGACTGGGTCTGCATCTCTTGGGTTGAGAACAGCAGCCAGAATTGCCCTGGGTTGTGTCTGTTTCACTCAGCGTTTCCGTTGCCCTTTCCTCAGATTCAAGATATTCTGAAGTTTCATTGGATTCTGACTTCTCTTGAAGTCTCTCTTGAATGCAGAGTATTCTTACATTTGATCCTCAATTATTAGATATGAGCCAGGATATATTTTGTGAATACGAGCAAGAGCTTCGGTGGGAGGATGATCACTGCCCCCAAAGCTAGCTGGGTCTCCTGCTTTTCCTCTGAGCGATGACCAGGCAGGTGAGTCTCACTGCAGACCCGACCCGAGGCCAGAGGTGCCCCATGCCTGGGACCAGGGGTGTGAGAGGCTTGTCCACACATTTAGCACATGCTTAAAACAGACAAAACTGAGCTGTTCTCCGTACCTTAGAAGAGACCCTGACGCACTGTTTTCACGGTTGTGGTTACTGTTGGCAGCGCCAGCTTCGTGTGGTGGCCGAGTCACTCGGCTGGTGTGCAGCCCAGCTAAGATCCCTTGCTTTGAAGGGTTTTGGGGTTTCCTGCTCCGGTTGACAGTGGCCTTCAAATCCATGCACACGATTGCCTGGATAAAGATGAAACTTCTCAGTCACCCCTGACAGGACTTCCATGTAACAACAAGGGGGTTGTTAGCAACGATTATGTGTGTTCTCCCTCCCTTTCCCTACCCACCGACAGGACCACCCACACGTAGAACACCCAGTGCTCAAAGGGCAGTCTGTGAGATTAAACCAAACTGCAGTTGGCAGTTTGCCCCAAAAGAGGGAGGAAGGGCTGGAGGCAAGAAACTGGCCTGCTTCTCTGGTATTTTTCATCAGAAAGGCATGTGTACCTTTTGGTAGGAAAATAGTCTTGAGGATGGTGCCCTTAGCCCAGCCAGCAAGCTGGCACTGTACTCTGTCGTCACTGTGCTAGTCATCAGGGACTCAAGGACAAAGAGAACACCATCCCCTCCTTAGCTTCTTCCCAAACAATCCTATATAATAAAGATGTAATATGCAAATGGTCATTATACCGTAAAGCGTAACGACCGACCGCGTAAGGACCGGATCACATATCAGCAGGAGGGTGGGGCAGTGAGCTACAAGTGGGCAGTGGAGAGCTACAGGAGAGGGCAGGGCAGCAAGCTATGAGCTAGGGCGGGGGGGGGGGGGGGGGGG